GAGAGAGAGACAGAGAGAGAGTATTAGCATCTTAAGGTATTACATTTATAAAATAATTCATTTTTTTGACATTTTCATTTATTCTTTGGCACAAGTTTTAGCCAGTTTCGAATTTCGTTTAGTAAAGATGTTCAAGATAATTACAATCATTGTAATTTCTAATTTTTTTGTATTATAAAACTTTATAATTAAGACTTTCATTAAAACTTTATTAAAATAAATTCTATCTGAAATTAATGTAAACAAAGTTATTTTACTATGCATTTTTTTTTATCAAAGCTCATGAAACGTTTTTGAATACATTTGTCTCTTTTCTTTCTTTTCAAAAAATCTACTTATTTACAAGTCAGAAATTATTAATATTTTTAGTATTTAGCATTTTTGCTAATTTTAAACGTATTTTTTTGTTTTCCTTCCAATTTTTTGTTTTCCTTCTTTACATTTTCTGTATTTCGTCTTTCATATTGTGTGTTATACCATATCTGAGCGTACGAACTTTAGACGATTTGATTTACTAAATTTAAATGTTTATAATTTAAAAAGCATTGTAACCTCGGCATTTTGGTATAGGATTTTCGTCTCAAAATGATCTCAGAAATCTATTTTTAATGATTATTTTATAACATAAATTAATGAATTCTCTATTAGGGATCCATATAATGTCGATTAGTCATCCGAGGCTCCGTAAACCCTCTATTATTAATTCACATAACACTAATTCACATAACTAACAAACATCTAATAGAGACTTCCAATAGAATTCCACTGGACTTCCACAAAGTGGAATTATGGATTTCTAGTAACATTAATTGGAAATTTAATGGACATCCACTGGAAATTCAAATTTTCGATGTTTATTAGAAATTTTCTATGTGGGTAATATACATAATAAAAAAGTAAAAAGGAAAATGCAAAGCTATAAAAGAAAAACTATACATAGACATATTTTAAGTTAAATATTATAGTGCATATAAAGTGAAATGTCTGATATTGTTTGTATGAATAACCTTAGCAACACACACACACACACACACACACACACACACACACACGCGCGCGCGCGCGCGCGCGTAGTGTTATTTTTTTATTTTTGTTCTATATGTGTATACATATATATATATATATATGATCAAAATCGTGGTTTAATCAAAAAGAGATAATTGTATATGGGAAAAGATTTTTATTGGTAGATACACAATTATCTAAATCATACACATTCACATAATATTTACAATAAAGTTGTACTATCAAAATATTCTATTTATTTTTATCTCGGAGATCAAATTTATTGGCTCATCTTCAAGATATTACTTTGTCATTATTTTACTAAAACATGATTTAAAAATTTCATGATATTGTACCTTTTATTTTACCTTATACGGTTACGAGAAATAAAACTGCGTCGCAGCCATCTGTTGGCGATGCCACGTACTGCTTCGATTATATTTTCGAATTCATTAAGGCTGGTATTCATAGTCGATTCTTATTTTAAGACTATCTTAAGTAATGTCTTAAGATGCTAATACTCTGTGATTGGTTGATAATCTCTTAAGACAATATTTAAGACAGTTTTAAACATAAGATTTGACTATAAATACCCGTCTAAGAATAGAAAACGGACCTCTTTCAAAAAAACTGCAACAACTTTAATGTGATCATAATGTCATTCAATTAGATCGCAGTCTTAAAATCATAAAGTCGTGTATCATGATGTTTGTTTATAATAGCTTGTCGCGAGACTATACTAGAGTGTAACATAATAACCAATCAGAAAACAGAACATTTGTGCATGATACATGATGCTCTCTTCTCATTGGTCCGTCGCAGCAGCACATTATAGTGTAGTCATTGGAATAGAAATTGAATCAATTGAATGACTACGAATATGACCGAAAACAAGGAATATTACAATCATTCTTGCGACTATAAGATTCGCATTGCAAATTCCGCATAACTCTATAAATATTAAAATATAATAAAATATTTCTATGGAATCCTTTCTGAATTATCCGAAAGGAACTTTTTTTTGAATTTATAATGATCATTCGTGTTATTTGGAATGTTAAGTTACTTTCTCATTTGCAATAATGATCCTCTAATTAGAGCACTTTCTAAATGCAAACCATTTGCTGCATATCTTTCCTCATAAATGAAAGAAAAAATCATTACTCAATAAGTATATACATCTGCATATATATATATATATATATATATATATATATACTTGCAACTAAAGAATTAAATAATTAATATAATACTCTGAAAAACATTTTCTAATAAATTTTTCAATTGTAAGATTAATTAAAATATATATCCTAACAGTCAAACGTGAAGAGACAAATTATGCGTAGAGTCTGTTATAAATTTATACCAGAAAGGCAACAGATTTTGCAAACAGACTTTGTAATATCTAAAAGTGTCAGCAAACTGCTGCTAAAAATCTAATAAAATCTGTTGATATTCTTCCGCGGACTGACAGCAGAAATCAAGCAGACTCTACTGCAGTTTGCCGTCAGATTGAAAGCGAGCAGGACTTGCGTGACAATCTGACGGTAAACTGATAGCAGGATCTGCTTGATTTCTGTTGCCAGTCTGCTGGCATAGAATGTCAACAGGTTCTGTCAACAGAATGTAAGCAGAATGAAACTTCAAATGAGGTCAGTTGCTAATATTGACTGATGTAATTATAGATAATACACTACTGACTAATTATAGATAATATATAATTATAAATAATATATAATTAAGATTAGAGTAGAAAATCAATATTTGTATGATACATATGATCATATCTTTTCACACACAAGATATTTCACAATATTTTATTGAAATATTTCAAATGTTATGTACTGAGATTATGACTTAGGATTGCACTTAGAAAATTGGAACAATTTAAGATATTTTCGGAATAAAGTGTGTTGTGTGAGCCAACATTCCAGCAAACACAGTAATATAACATATATATCTTAAATATATATCATGTATTACGAGGTAACTATTATAACTATTATACTCATTATGTACTCATTACAAATTATATAACAAGTAACATGTATATATATTATATGTATTAAATGTCAAAGATAAAGATATGTCTCTGATTTATTTAAAATATATAGAATACATTACAAATGTTATATTTATGGTATATAATTGTGTCAATACGGCAATGTAACATATCTGTTTTAAATCTGAAATGATATGAACGTTCAAAGTTGCTGACTATCTTAGAACCTTCCATTTAAAGAGACTATTTAAAAACTCTGCTGGCTATTTTACTAGCTACCATGCTGGAAATTGTATAGCCTGCTTGGCTACTAGCTTGGCTGCTAGCTGCTAGCTGGTCTGTTCGATTTTTGTGATAGATTCAGTACTATTTTTCTTGCGCTGGCCTTGTGCATGGTCTTGTACTCGCTCACTTTGAAAACCAATTAAGATAACTTTAGATCACGTCATCAAATATTTCCTCTTTATGTAATAGCGTTTTTCAATTTGTTGATACCGAGTCGAATCAAGCATGACGGCAAAAAATGACAACCTAGTTGCTATTTAAAAAAAATGGAGATTTGTAATATGCAACGACGTATTTTTTTGAAAAATAAATAAATAAATATTTTCTTTACAATTGATTCATCTCATTATTTTGTGCATAAAAGTATTAAGATATAGTTGTCAAAAAATAAACGGAAGTTTAGGAGATATTTTATATTTTAATATTTTATATTTTATAAAATAGTAGTAGTTCTTTCGTAGTCTTTCTGTTCTTTTTTACTTTATTAAAATTCTTAATTTTATTCAAACTGTTGACCATTCACAATTAAACACTTATTAATTCTTTTCATGGCCCCCTCGTTCACCCGATCTTACATCTTTGAACTATTTTTTATATCGCGGAGATATATCAAAAAGAAAGTCATGACTCAACTGCCTATGACGAAAGAAGATTTAAAACAAAGAATACGTGAAACGTATACGTTTGCGCTAATGTAACCCCAGAAATATCGTCTAGAATTAGATAAAATTCTGTGGAAAGAATTAATAAGTGTTTAATTGTGAATGGTCAACAATTTGAACATTTAATAAATAGAAAAAAATAGAAAAAAAATTATGAAGTTTTTTATTTAATTTATGGTTTCATCATTAGTTTGATATTAGTTTATTCTCTATTTTAATTAAAGTTTTAAAGTTTTAATGTAACATTAACAAAACAAAAATATTTTAAATAAATTTATTACTTATTACATTTAATTTAAAAAAAAATCAATTAATCAGTTTACGCAACAGCTTAATAAACCTTGTCCCGCATTGGCATAAATATCAAGAAAAAAGAATGGCTATAAGATTTAAATGTTAATTTAAATGTTAATTTAATTGTTTTTTAGAATTCTCTTTCAATCAAGAGCAAGAGTAGAAGAATTAAGGAGGAAAAGGCTAAAAGGCGCGACGTATCCAACACACCTTGTCGTAGAGCAACGCAAGCTTGCTCCTCGCAAGCCTGCTCGTGAATGTGATAGTCGCGAGCAATCGCGCAGGGCATCGGTAAAACGGTGTGCGGAAAAAGCTTATCTTTCAAGTTACGAATTACGCAGAGGTGCGCAGGCGCCGATCGACGACGCGTATTGTTACCGCGGCGCGGCCACGGTCGGACGCACATCGGTGGTGTGAGCGGCGGTGAGTGGCGGCCAGCGGCCAGCGGCTAGCGACGAACGGCGACGAATGGTAGCGACGAGCGCACTAACGCATCGCGACGTCCGTTACCCGTCCTATCGTGTTGTTCGCCGGCGCTCGGCACACGTACTCTCGGCGTGAAATCACCGTTGTCGACGGGATCGGTCGGCGAGCGATCGAGCGCATAGACGATCGGGGTGGATCGAGACGATGATGGCGACAACGACCACGAGGTTGCGTGCCGTCGGCACGTGTGGTGAAGAAATGTCGCCAAGTGCCGAAGGAAAGACGTTTTCCGCCGTACCGCCGTCGCCGCTACGGAATGGCTTAATGTCGAGCAGCATCGAGAATGCCGGCAAAATCAATGGTTACACATTAACGAATAATGGCCATGTACATGTAAGTATAGCGGTCTCGATGCGCCGCACGATCCTCTTGTTTTCTCGATCCCCCGTTATTCATATGGCGTTACACAATGTGTCCAAGACACGGTATCCAGTCCAGTCGTATCACGTCACCCTCCTCCACGATATCACTTGATGGCATGGACCGTTATTATCTATGTTGCGAGCCACAGTCACACGATTTCTATTCTTCATTTCCTTTTCTTCGTGTGATATATTCTTGATTGTCTCCTTGAACTATGCAGGATTTTCTCTCCTTGAGAAAATAGAATTGACATGATAGGAATAGGAATTTTTAAGGGTGATTTCGATCGCTTCGATTCGGATTAATTTAATCAGTGATTAATTCAACTGGCAAAGTCGCTTACAGCAAAATTTTTAGTTGCACGATTTGTCTTTAATCCTATCTTTTTTCTCACGTATCAAGCGAAAAATTGATAATTTTATTCACGTTGATAAAATATTTGACAATCGGTTTTAATAATCGGTGAACGAATCGAAATCTGATAGAATTACTAAAAATTAATTATTGTATCACTTGCACTAGAGATTATAGTGCATGAAATTAGTTAAATAAATTTAGGTATGTAATATAAATATTTTAACTGATAAAACATTCAATGTAACATTGTTATATATTTATTTAATGAAATGTGTATATTAAATTTATATTATGTTGCAAAGACATTTGTACTATGTTTTTGAATTTAGATTTATACAGGATGGGAAAAAAGTCCCAGGCCCTTGAAATATTTCGATAACAAAACATTTTTGAGAAAAATGTTTCATACAAAAGTTGTAAAATTTTAAGAGACGCATTATGTAGCAAGATTAATGCAACCTTGAATAAATAGCGTTGTCAAGGTCACGTAAAAATCACTTTAAAATTTTTAATGGAAATTTCCATTTTTCATTGCATACTTTTAGCTTATTTCGAGAGCTTTTTAAAACACTATAATTAAGTACTTTTTCATTTCGGACTGTCCGAGTTATGAGACATGAGACATGTTACAGTATTTTGACATTAAGTATAAAATATCTTGTAAAATTTCATTGATTTTTAATATTATATTTGCAATATTATTTTAAATTGCAATACTTATAAATAGCTCTGACTAGAAATCGATAAATGTAAATCGAAAGCTATCTAGGAATTATTTTCGCAATGTAAACATGTCCGTCATAAATATCTCTCAATAAAGAAAAATTGTAATTTATATGAACAAATGTTTAAATTGTTTAATTACAGTTTTTTTTTCTTAATCTAAAAAAACATTTTTAAACAAATAGACATAAATGTGCGTATCGAATCGTGTGTCTTTTTTACATAATTTTATTCTGATATTGTTCACTCCTTTAAAATAGAAAGATGAAAATGTGATCGAAAATATGTTTACAAAAAGAAGAATATTTTTTGATATTTGATATTTGATATTTTCGTGAATATAGAAAACTAATAAAATATCAATCATTATATTAGATGTCTTTTTTTAATAAGATATCTGCTTTATTCTTTTTCTAATAAGATATCTGCAAATAATATGAAAGAATATAAAGAGATTACAACAAAGTTATGCATTCGACATGAATTATACGAATTCTTCCTTTATTCACGTAAACATATGCATTCAACATGATAAATGATAAATGATTCGTAATGAAATAAGAGTTTTTTCTTTATTAATATCTAAACTTTTTATTATCCATGCATATATCTGCATATGGAGTTGCATATGGATATTTTTTGCTGTAAAGCATCGTCGTACATCTATATATAATGTTTCTCACGAAAAAGTCAACGAATAATGCGAGTAGAACTCATTTTCAGACACGACAGCATTTTAAGACCATGAGATTCCGCTTTCTTCTATCCGTGAAACGTGATAAGTGATCCGTCAATGAGTAATTCGTTCTCGGAAATCGCTATCAATGCCGTTATCAATTTTTTAAACAGATTATGATGATGGTTTTTATATTGACATTATATCTTATTTTTTTTTTTGCATTTTAGTAACTATAGAATAAGATAAAAAAGATATTTATTTTTGAAAAGATTATATTATGATAATTAAAAAAAATAAAACTATGCTATCTTAAATTGGCATCAAATTAATTAGATTTTTCCATAGGATAATATGACGGCTGATATTTGAATATGACTCATTAATGAAACATGCCACCATATTTCAGGAAGGCAAAACGTGCGTAAAGATTCGAGACTGAATGTAAATAACATTCAATAAAAAATATATAATACACACGCAAAAAATAGTAAAAAGTGTTTTTAAGTTTTGAATTTCATTTTTAAGCGTTTTATTTATTTTATTTTTTTTTGTTGCCACTTTATTAATATTTTTTGATAAATCGCAAATTTTTATGATTTTCACTAAACATTGGAGAATGAAAAACATCATCTTTATCAAATTTATTTTGACGTCTAAATACGTTATATCGTAAAACGTTTTCGTTAACGTAAAGATAACATCATATTCACAAATCTAAATTTAATTAAAATGTTCTTTCACAACATTGTCATTTCCATCATTATATTTGTATTTTCATTTTAATTTTCAACTAATTTTTTATGTTAACAGTTGAATATGAATCTTTTAAGTAAGTTTTGAATAAAAAGTCGATTTAGGTCAAGCAAAAGAATGAATATAAATGAATGGAGGCATGTATGAATGAACTTCAGAATTTTTAATGTATATCGGTGAATATATTTCACGATTTCTTTTTTTTAATAAATCAAGGCAAAAGATCTTATTACACTTGTATATAAATGTTCATGCAATTGATTTTTTAGTCTAGATTTTTTTTTATGTGTTACATCATATCACAAAAATTAAGATGTTTATTACTTGAAAAGAACTGAAAAGTTTGGAAACTCTCTTAAGGAATTCTTTTCTTGTCTGGAGAAATCAGAAATAATATATATTAAAATACTAACAGGAATAAATTTGCAATTTAATGTTTTAGAAAAGAAAAAATGCTGATGAACTCAATATAATATAAAGTCCAAAGTAGAAAGATATCATTCATGCACAAGATATCTTTGTGAGAGATGTATAGAGGCTCTTCAAACCATTTTATGTCTCGATTTTAGATTTTGTTTGCTATTTAGGAAATAATAAAAAAAGACAAATAATAAACAATTTGGTTCGAGTAGGCAAGAAAAAGAAAGTAAATCAAGAAAAAGAAAGATCAATTAGACAAATACAGAGGATATTAAGTTAATAGCAATTAATATACAAAAATTAATACATAAATAATACATAAAATTAATACATAAACAAGTTTAATATTTCTTAATGGATATTCCTTTCGACTTTACAAAGCCTTCTTCAGTCTATATAAAAAAGAGAATTACAATTTAATTAAATTAAAGAATTAAAAATTAAAATTAACGTATGTCTTATCCTACGATAATTGTAACTGTGAAAACATGAAACGTTGACAACAATTTAAAAGACATAAAAAGAAATAAGTTAATGAAAATAAAAATAAAAGCAATGTAGAAAATAACAAGAGCCACATTAAAGATTCGACATATAATGCAGCATTATAAATTAATTTGTGATCCCTTTCCTCGTAATAATTGCAGTCAAAGCGTGGTCCAAGTAAATAAACAGATGACATGACTGACTTTTCGTTCATAGATGAAGAATCAGTCATAAAATAAATATTTTATGTTATTTGTTTCCGACTCATTACAAAAATGCACATGATGTCCAAATTTAAAATTGTAGAAATTTAAAACTAACAGCAAAAAAGGAAGGATAAATGGAATTAAAGCCAATAAAAAAGGAATTTTTAAAAATATTAATAGATAAGAAACAAGAAAAAATAAATTTACGTTTCAGAAGTACGTTTCAGAAATGCATCGAACGAAATTAAAGTAGATGTTGCTAATATGACAGTGGCAGGCAAATGAAATAATACATGTATACAATAATACAATAAGTAAGTAAATAATTCTTTAAACTAATAAGGGGATAAACAATATTCAAAAATTATTATCAGAAATGATATGAAGTAAAGCAAAATAAGAATTATCAAGAAATATAGTATTATGCTTTTTAATATATAGCATTTGAAAAATCAATCTCTTGCTAATTCGATTCAGAATCAAGTATTGTTATCAAATTTTATTAATCAGACTTATGGCTTAATTTCAAAATGTATTCAATGATTATTGGCTGCTTTGATGAATCCAATTTGATATTGTGTTTTAAAATATGTTTTTTTATCAAATTGAGTTGGATAAGGCCAATAACGAGCGTAAAAAATAAGTAGATAAATAAATCTTTAATTACATTAGAAAAAGGGTTACATTAGAAAAAGGCTTGTATATGTAAATCTAAAATTCTGAATCAATAGTAATTAAATCTTAGTTATGATAGTATGAAGTATACTTTTAAATATATTAAATATAGAAGATAGAAATATAGAAGAAATTTAGAAGAAATTTCGAATCGAAGAGAGATTAGCTTACTTAACGTTTCTTGAATGATTCTACTAAATGGTTCATTTGTTCTAAAAATCGACTTTTCTTATTTTTATTTTTCTGATATTTAAAATTCAAAGTCTAGCTCTAAATTTTTATTGATTTCTTTAATGATATAAGTTAAAAAAAAAAGAACCAGAATTATTTATAATTTATATATATGTATGAAATATATAGTATGTATATGTATATGTAATATGTTATAATTTATATATGTATGTATGTATGTATGCATACACATATATGTATATATAAAATAAGTTTGTTCTAAAAATGCTTTCGTTATGCATACAGATTTAAATGATCTTCACAAAATGATTTCTGCAATAGAAGCAAGACTTTTTAAAAAGACTTGTTCTAAAAAGAATTAGTTAAATATTTTGAATATTTTTCTTAAAAATTTTTCAATAAAATCCTAAACAACATTTTCGTAGATTATGCAATATAGCGTAGAAATTTATTACAGTCTCATGGTTCAACAAAAGCGAAGTTACAAAGAGCGTCACAGTCAAAGGAATCCTTTGAAAAAGTTTCATTCATCACAGCGGCGCTTACGCATCTTGGTTTTTACATTCTCATGTTCTTGGGATTTATTAATCAATTATTCTTTTTTCCGAAGATTGCCACCGAAAAGAATAGAGAAGTACGATGATAATTTACATTTTATTAATATTTATTGATGCAAATTTTAATTTTAATTAATTAATTAATTAAATTTAATTAATTAAATTTTAATATATTTATGATAAAAATTTAAAATATAAAAACAAATTTTAACATTAAATCACATATATATTTGAATATCGCTATTAATAATAATCTATTGCAAGATTTATATGAATAAATACATTACATGAGTAAATAAAAATGTATATGTACGTATCACAAGCATCACGACATTATATAAAAATATAAAACTTGTATTATTTTATAAATTATAACTTTTGTTGCGTAGAATTCATATTTTGCATATTAAAAATTTTTGAATTTGAAATTTTCCGTACAACGTAACAATTATATTCCTTGTGCGATATCAATTATATGAACAATAATTTTATTTTTTGTGAAACATTTAGATGATATTTTAAACATGTGTTTTAGGGGTATGCTCCACTTTACGACAATTTTGAGAAATTTTATCTTAATTACGTCTACAGAAGAGTTAGAGATTGTTGGAACAAACCAATTTGCTCTGTTCCTGGTGCGACTGTCACGTTGAAAGATCGAATAACTAATGATTATGGATGGACATTTCAGTAAGCTTGATTATGTATGAAAATGATATTGCCATATTAGTATATCAATAGAATTAAAATTCCGAATTTTTTAATCCCAACAGATTTACTGGAACTGAAACGCAATGTATAAATTTGGGCTCTTACAATTATTTAGGGTTTGCCGAAGCGAGTGGTAAGTGCGCCGACGAGAGCATCGAAATGCTCAGGAAATTTGGTTGTGCTAGTTGCAGTACACGCCTTGAATTAGGTAAATAATTCGAGAGAACATTCTTATTTAAATTTTTCTCTTGATCATCAAGACTAAATTATTATTACGCACGCACACACATACACACGCACACACGCACACACGCACGCACGCACGCACGCGTGCGTGCGTGCGTGCGTGCGTGCGTGCGTGTATATGTGCTATTGTAAAGGAATATACAAAAAAAGAAATATACAAAAAAAAATAGAAGAAAAAAATTTTGTACAATTTTTTTTTCCCGTATATTTAACAAGTGATTAAAATTCAACTTTTTAATTGCTTGAAAATTATCAGAGACAGTCACAAAAATGTAGGTAAAAACATGTCAAACAAGCATCATAGATAGGATTATGATTATCGATGCATGATGTTTCTACTTAAGAATTTCAATTTAATTTAATAATTACCAAGTTGCTGGATTTTCTTTGTTTTTATAAAATAAATAAAATAAATATGAAGCAAAAAAAACACGATCGCATTTCTTGTAATTCAAACGGTTAATGTCTTTTTAACATAATCTATTTAATATACGACATATTAACATATTCTATATCATATTTGTTATATATTATGTCCATTATATGATACTTATTTAGAGAATAATAAAATAATACAGAATTTATTAAAAGATAATGAGAATATGCGATATTTTTTAATAAGTTATAGTTTTATTAATCGGTATTTCTAAAGGATGATGATTCTCTTTATCAAATCGGCAAATAATGAAATTGATTATTTGACGATCTATTATTTTTTTTTAAATTTATTAATTTAATTTATTAACTAACTTGTTTTATCATATTTTTTTGAAAAATTTGAGAAAAATTGATCTAGATAGCAAACAATAAGATAAGCTAATCAGATATATATATATATATATATATATATATATATATATAT